CATTAACTTAGTCTCAGTTATGATGATTTTTTGATATCTTAAATTTGTTTTTAATATTTTAAAAATAGTAATACACTTGTATCGTTCAAACAACAAAATATGAAGATGTATACTCACTTCTTTGCCCCATATGACTCCTCCTAGACCTTTATTATTAATTTTTTCTAGAAGTTGTTTATATAAATTTCTCCTTTCTTACACTAAAGGCAGCATATTTTATATGTTACACTATACCTCGCTTTTTTCCACAAGTCTTAAATTTTTACAATCACATCTTTGGGATTTCCTTTATTGCTTTTATGTGTAAAGCACCCTACTACACTTGAGATCAAATTCTCATCTACATATAAAGTCTTCTCATTTCTAATAGTTTTGACATGAACATATGATTTTTATACCACCACCTTAAACGAGAAGTCCTCCCTTTCAACAAATAAGGCCTTAAAAAATAAACTCCACTTGCTTTCTCGTGGGAACATCTCGTTATAAGGTAAACCTTAATAGGTAAGGTAGATCAGAACTTAACAAGGTTTTACTTTCTGTCTTTGTAGGTCTTAGTACTCATTAAAAACAGCACTTAGAATATATGTAGGGAGATCTGGTGAGGCATCTCTAAAAATCTGTTTCTATGAGGGAGACTGGACCTCAAACTTGGGAACATCAAATTGCCTGAGGGTTGACAAGGTATGCTCCAGTTTTCTGTTACACATTCTTCCTGTGGCTTGTTGCACTTGGAGGACAGAGGAAGAGTTGTCTTCTAGCCACTATATAATTTGCCTGTACCACACATCTAACACCTATTAAGAGACCCTCATACTGTCTGTTCCCTCTCCATTATGGACAGGGTTTGGACATAACCTAATCATTAACTACTAGGATACTTCTTTCTACTAGAAATGAGAGACGTGTTTAATAGAAGACCTAATTTTCAAATTAGAAGTAACTATCCCGTAATTTCAGAGCAGAATAAGGTAATACTTATGTATTTTGAAAGGAAGAAAATATACTAAAATTTAATATCATTTTAATGTGAATCATTCCCTCAGAAATACAAGATTATTCAGATAATATCCTTCAGTAACTATTTCTGTCTAGCAGCCTTGAGAAACTATTAACATTGCAAGAAGAATAGGTGTTGAAGTGTTTTTCAGAGACTAAAACAATAAAAGTTGTCAGTATGTTATAAGAACTCTCATCTTAGTAGGATTTGCACATATTTTAAAAGCCATTTTTGTTTCAGGTTTTACTTATTATGCATCAGTTAAATTTCCCAGAGTGAGTTCTCTATTATCTGCTTACTACTGTGGTAAATTCCAGGTCACCTTAAAAAAGAGAGTAGGGAGGAAAGACAACTTGATGACAACAGTATAGTTTGAAATGCATTTCATCCATACCATGATGGTGGAACATTCCAATGCCACTTAGATTGCTGGGAAAGAATTAAATTAAAATGCTAATCTTGGTGCCAAGTTAATAAAATTATTAAGTCAACACTGTATTTATTTCCAATGAAGTACTCATACCTACCTTTGCTCATCATCTGGCCTCTTGATCAAATTGAAAAGTATGTGGAGAAGCTGATCTCTTTCTTTAGGCTCAGGATGCAGACATGCTGTACACAATATGAGGGGGATCAACTCCTAAAGAAATATGAGGGTGGAAAAATTGAAAGTAAAAATATATTGCAGAATATTCTTTTTTCCCCCAGAGTATTCTTAAATGGAAATTTAAAGTGAAATAAATCTAAACATAAAATACAACAAATTTTAATTTTGTAAGGTTGATAACTCAAAAGAAAACACTGAAAACATTAAGTGTTGACTGAAGGTGCAAATGACAATGTAATAGAGTTAAGATTCAACTAACCTTGTGTTTTAATCCAGTACTTCCCAAGGGTCCACTAGCTTTTACGCTTAAATAACATTACATAACGTGATAAGCTGATAGAGTAATTTCAATTGTTTTTCAGTTGCCATTGAGTCGATTCCAACCCAAGGCGACTCCATGTTTGTCAGAGTAGAACTGTGCTCCCCAGGGTTTTCAATGGATTTTTCAAAACTACCTCACCAGATCTTGGGTGAAGGGTGAGACAGTACACAATACAGGGGAAACTAGCACAACCTGTACAGGGAAAGGTCATGGAAGCCCCA